GTTTTGACCCAAAGCTGTGCTTTGCTCCCCTCTGTAACACTGCCAGCATAATTTCCAGTCTCTTTTAAGCATATGTTTTGCAATAATATCTAAAGTCTTGGCTCCAAGTAACTGCCTTACAGAGAGATTAGTATCTTCTAACGAAGGAATTGAGAAGCAAATAGTGAGAACAAAAGCAATATCTTGAGAGCCTGTAAGACTATCCTGACCTTTCCCAAAGGCCTCAGCCTGGCCCTCGGTGTTCAGCAGATGGCAGAAATCAGGGTGGACTTTGATTTGTAGAGGCCTCTGCCTCGCCGCTGTGTTTGCGGGAAATGTGCTCAGCACGTTGTGGCCATCTGGGCTTGACTGTACTATTCTGATAATCCCCAGGGAGCCTTCTCCAGCAAAGCTCATCCTTGATGGAAGTCCTCTCTGGCTGACCTTGTAGAAGGCTAGTATTAGCAGTGTGGGTTTTTGACGTTTGACAGCAGCACTCCTCATGGGAAGAAAACGGGCTTGGGAAATGCTTTGTCCTGGCCAAGAAGGAAGGTACCACTCACCAGGTATCCACATGGACACACAGTTGGAATTACACTAGAAAGTGAGGAGGCTGGTGTTAATGTTTTCTAAACTTCAAGAGGAAGTGTTACAGGAATGCAAAGGCCATCAGAAAACAACTGGAAAATTGCCTTGCTTTAAATGGGAGAACCAGATGGGGGGAATTGAACCTGGAGCTGAGAGTCTCAAAATTGCAAGGGAGCTTAGTGACTGGCCATCCACAGGGAGACAAGAGTCAGATGAGGGGGTCCTGACAGGAGCTGGAATCTTCATCTGGAGCTAAATGAAGGACTGCTTTTCAGAAGAACTGAGCTGGCTTTGCCAGAAATCAAAAGAATGATTGAGTGCTCAGCATCCCTGGAACTGAGAGGGCAAGACAGAAGCTGCTAAATTCAAGAAATAAGGAAAGAACAAACCCAGACCCTCTCCCAGGCTGTGTTCAGAGGCTGTAAATGCTCTGCCTCAGATATTTTGTATTTCAGGTGGGGGGTGTATGGCAGCTTGAGTGGCCAGTCCCACAGGCAGTGCTGTCCTCAGGGAGCAGGATGTCTGCCCTGCCCTTTGCACTGTGCATCTGGCAGTGTGTGCCTGATTTTGCTTTAAATCACACACTCTCTGCTCATGAGCCACCCACGATGGGCTGTTGGACTTGTGGCACCCATTCTGCTCCCTCCTGCCTGTCCCTGGCCATTCATAATGACAAATCTCAACCCTTTTCCTGACCTTTTGACTCTTCAGCTGGGCAGTGTGTGGAGCTTGCTCCAGGCTGCTTGTGAATCAAACTCCCAGGAGAGTTTGTGAGATGGTGCCACAGAGGTTCCTCTCCACGTCTGTCCCATGGCAGTTTTGCCCTGTGTTGCCCAGGCTAAAGGGACTCTCCTGCCTCTGGCTCTGCTGGCCAGCCCTGGTCAGCCACACTCTTGAGAAATCTTAGTGGAGATGTCGACCTGGCAGATGGAGGCCATTACCTCATTCCACAAAAATGCTTTGTTATTGAGAAAATGGAAACTGTCTGAGGTTTGGGAGCTGAATAGAGTCATTGGTGTCTGTTTTAACCGCAGTTTAGTGGTGACTGCTCAAAAGTTCCCCTTTCTGAGCATTCCCTTTTCCTACACCCATAATCTTCAAGCCATTGGAGAGCTGTGATGACTTAACTCATTAGCTGAGCAAAAAATGTTGAATGCTGCTGCACGCTCTGCAGAAACTTCACTAAAACCTCAACATCTTCCAGCAAAACAAAAATGATGAGCCAAGAAATAACCCTTTGCAAGCTGTTGGCCAGATAAGTGATCCCTATGGATACTAAGCCAAATTCAACCCTTTTTACAGTTTCAGCTGTGTGTCTTGTTTACTTGACTTTGAAAAGCTCTATGGAGATTATGCAGGAACTTCTTCAAGAAAAAAGACATACTTGGGCACTTAGGTTTGTAATTCTTAAACACGGGTATCTGAACCCCAGTCCTGAAGAGAAATTTCTTTTCATCAATTTTTAAAAGCACATTTTAGCATTGTGGATTTGAGAGCATAGGGGAAAGAATAAAAATAGGGATTGAAGTGTTTGCAAGCTAGTTTTTGTATTGCTGTGAATAATGACTGGGCTTAGTCCAGAAGAGCATTAACCTAAACACAGGCCTTGTTTTACTTAACAGATATTTGTGAAACTGGCATCTGATACCTCTTTTTGAGAACCTTCCATAAGCATTAATCACCAACACCCTAAGAGAACCAAGAACAACAGCTTTTTGGAAATAAAATGAATGCTTTATTTATGTATTTTTAAACTAATTAATCTTGGCATGCCAAATGAATGTCTTCCAGCTGCTACAGATGGTTTTCACATGATTAAATATTTTGGTGTGTAGAAAAACCTAAAATAGTGGAACCACAAGATATTAAGTATTTAATTATTACCCTGGAATGTAAATATGACCTTGATATTTTAAATTTGTTTGCCCAAATTTCAAGTGTTCTCTTAGAAATCCATCAAACAATGCAGTTCTGATTTGTTATCTGTGAAGCAGAGTGACTACTCAGCATCTTCTCCAAATTTATTTAAATATCAGAGTGGGTTTTAGAAGCAGGAATTTGCTTAACTGGAAAAATAATCCCAGCTGCTTGAGGCAGAACCCAGGCTCAAAGTTTGAAATGTAGTGGACTAGTTCTGTCCTAGATCCCTGCTTTCAGGTTTAACCATAAAAATCCTTTCTAGGCTCAGCTCTGCCTCTTAAGGTCTTGAGGAGGTTTTTTAATATAAAATACAAATTGTAAAAACAATTAGCAGTTGATTTTTTGGCCTGTATCTTACCGATTTAGAACACATTCTGGCCATGTGTTGTTCCTGTATCTGTAAAGCAGCCTTATTTCTTGAATGATCCAAGCACACAAGATTTCCTCCATGTGAGTGTATCACAGGTAATTTCTGTCATGGTTCAGGACTGTGTGGTTGCAGATCACACACAACCTGCATGTACACTCAGGCTTCTTGTGAAAAATGTCTTTTTGTAGTTCTTCTAATGAAACAAAATAAAGGGAATAATATAAAATATGTATCTGAAAGGCCTAACCTTCAGCACAGTTGAAGACAAAAATTCCTCTCTGAGGCCCACACCTGATGGCACTGTTCCTGGATATTGCTCAGGATGGGAAGACAACAAAAAATCAATGGGTCCTAAGCTGCCCCTGAGTGCAAGGACTGCATTTGTCACCATCATGGGCCCCAGTACCAGCCTAAACTCCTGATTTCTGCCAGGCTTTTGACCTCACCTTGGAATTCCAGCACCCTCATTTAAGGAAAACTGGCTTTTTCCTTTCTTAAAAACGAACCCATTTGGAACTGGTGCATAACTTCCTGCTGCTGCCCTATCCCAGTTCTGCCTGCCAGCTCAGCTGCTCCCTGCTGAACCCCAAGTTTGAATAGCAAGGGCAGCTAGCAGAGGCATGGTGTTGGTTGGGAGATCTGGACTCTGGAACAGCACAGCACTTTGTCTGTCTGCTACAGGGTTGGAAGGCACCTTAAAGACCACGTCCCTCTCTTCCTTCTCCTCCTCCCTTTTCTCTTGCTTCTCCCAGGGTCAGGGTTGTGCAATCTGTAGATGCAGGTCTGTACCCCACGTTGGTGGGTGTCACAGTTTCCACTGACAGGGATATGTGCTGCATCTCAGGAGGAGAAGAAAGATGGGACTTGGGTCTTGGTTCCATTTTTAGTTCTACAGGCCATGCCTAGTGCCAGAACTCTCTGAGGTGCAAATCCCAGGAGGGAGATAGCATTACTCCCTGACCTGTGGGTAATACAAGGGTAAATAATGTTTTTGCTGCTGACAGCTGTTAGGGAATTGAGGAAGCCACAATCCAGTGAGAGGTGTGGGGTGTCAGCTCTGGAAACTGAGGACTTTTTTGCATTAATGATCTTGCACTGGATCATCACATTTGTGTTACTGGCAGTAGAGAATCGGGGAGCTAAACTGCTTCACAGGTAAATCTTTAGTTTGTTTCCTTAAATTTGGATTATTTATGCTCATCTGCCTCTTGGCACATGGACATTTTCAAAAAGAAAGGGCATCATCTAAATCTAAAGGCATTTCAGTGGCTCCCTTTAACTCAGTGAACAGTTGACATTAAGAAAACTGCTGAGTGCCTAACTCAGAACATTCTGGAATACATAGACTGGTAGTGGTACTCACCAAGAGTCATTAAAAGCAAAAAGTGCACAGCGTGTTTTGCATCTATCTCAGCCAAGAAAAGTTTTATTTCTGCTATTTCTCAACCCTAAGCAAACACCATATAACTCACAGAAAGATTAAATCTGGCCCGGTGTGCATGTGTAGAAGTGTTGGATGTGTTGCTTTTGGAGAGCCCAGAGCTGAGTGTGGGAAATCATAACTGCACGTCAGGTTGGTGAAGGTGCACGGACTGTGTTGTGCTTCCTGCTGTGTGAAACAGTAATAACTACAGCATGATTAAATAATGCTTTCAGGTCCTTGATAGCTTTGAGTTTTAATTTTGGAATATGTAGAGCAGAACTTTGAATAAGAATGGAAGAGGGCAATGTAGAAACCTTGAATAATTATTAGATCAGGCTGTGTGAGCCACACTGACCCTTTCAAGTGACAATCCAGGTTCTGCTGCTCTCTGCTGCTCACCTTGTTAGCACCTGACTTGGTAAGTCAGGCTGATAATGATGATGAGTTTTTCACTTTATGTTAGGAGTTTTGCTTCTTCTCTTCTCTTCTCTTTTGTTTTTGTTTTTTTTTTTCCTGTCATCATGATGTTCAGCAATATAAAGGCATTAGAAGTAAAATATGTCTACACAAAACTGGAATCACGTCTCTTGTGAAAATTTAGAGTAACTTTTAATGCAAGTGTCCAATTTCTAGTCACAAGTAATGACATTTAAACCCCTGTAGGAAACACAATCCCTGTGCTGATGTCACCCTTGGTTTATGATGTGAGTGCTTTTGTTGCTGGACAAGCACTTGAGTGTTTGCTGGTGAAGTGATGATTTACTGGTGAGAGTGTCTGGCTGGTGGCACCTGCTGTAGCTGACTGAGGTGAGGGGCTGGAGGAGCACCTTGGCACAGCTGGGTCCCTGCTGCTCCACTGCTTCCAGCAATGCAAGGTAAGCGAATTGGGCTGAGCTTTTATTTCCAGGGTTTGCCAGTTTGGGACAAATGGCTTGTAAATGGAGCACTCTTGTTCTGATCAGCTCCAGAACAGAGGGAAGGGTTGTTGGCATTGCAGTGAAGCCCTTGATCCTTGGGTTGCTTGGGCATGTGAACAGCTTTGGGAACTTTTTCCCAATAGTCAGAGTGCACGTTGCTTCTGCTTCCATCATCATCAGTGAGTGTGGAGCACCTTCCCTGCAGCAAAGAAACAGGCATTGCTTCACATCTGCTGCTTCTAGGGCTGAGACAGCAGCTCTTCTTGTTCTTCAGCTGAAAGTTGCCAAGAGAGGAGCCTGTTAGTGAAAATTCTGTTCTTTCTGATCCTTTTTAACTTCTGAGAGACGTGCTTCATGTAGGTGCCCTTGTAAATCTCAGATGGGAATCAAAGAATGATGTTCTGTAAAGGAGCCACGGACCTGGATCAAGGACTCTTGATATTGTTACTTCTTATCTGTTCATGTTGGATTTTTTTTCTGTAAATAAACAGCTTTTCCTCTCTTTCTGAGATTTTAGGCAGTCCACATTTTTACTGAGCTGCGTGCCAGCAGCAGCTCCAATTCTGAGATTGACATGTCCAGTGGAAACTCCATGTGTAGCTGCATGATATAAAGGCATTCATACACTTTGTGGGCACTTGTGTTCCTTACAATACCTGTTTCCATATAATCTTTTGGACGTGGCACAGTTTTCCCTTTTATGGGTGCCACCAAAGATTATCTCTGCACAGCAGAAACAGGAGCGCATGTTGCATCTTGCAAATTTCCTTTTAGCGCTTGCAAGGAGTTATTTTGTAGAGATGTTATGCAAAATACGTAACAATTGCAACTGATGGCTTCTATTATTTAAATTTTGCAGTACTGAAGAATAATTTTAAAGGTGTCAGTGAGAATGGTTTGAAGAGAACCAGCTCGTGAAAGTAAATGACACGTTCTGGCCAGATTACCTGGCAGAGAAGCCTTCAGTCACAGAAGGGAGCTGAAGGAGCTAAAACTAGTTAGGCCTTATTGAACTGGCCCATGTTATATTCATTTCACTTCTACACTGCCTAGGAGGTGTTCTCTTCCCCTCTCAGCCATCCCATGTGTCCCCTTTGCTCGGCTGTGCTGCCCTTGAGAGCGCTGCCCTGTTTGGGGAGGGCTGCAGCTGGCACACACAGCATCTCCCGGGCAACAAATGATCCCAGTTTTTGTTTGGGAGAACCATCAAGCTGTTCCCAGGGTGGTAACATGAGACAATTTGTCTTTTGCCAGGACTCAGTCCTCCCCCAGATTTAGAAGCTGCTTGCATGCTTCGTGCTGCAGGCCTGGCATTGCCTTTGCTTGCAAGGGACACCAGCAGCTGTAAAAAGCACTTTACAGGGAGTCTGTCCGTGTTCTTGGGCTAAGAGCCAGCACAGGTGGGGAGGCCTCGGGGATCTGTGGCAGAGAGGGAGTGCAAAAGTGTCTCCTGTCACCTTCCTGGCTTTCTCTTCCCTCTGCGGATTTTGGAGAGCCCCAAAAGGCACAAAACTCAGATGCACGTTACCTCTCTCCATCAATAGATCTGTTTATATGCAAGAAACCAACTGCAAATACTTGTGTTTGAGAGGCAAAGAATCAAATCGGAAGAGGGAGTATTTTGACCAAATTTGGTGAAAAAATTCACTTTGCCCTTTAAGTAATAGGCGTGCATTAAATAAAACATGTCTGGGATATGTGCCTTTTTCTGCTACTGGAAGTCAAAGTTGTTTTGTTTATTGAAAAGAAACATGAAGCTGAGCAGAGCCTTAATCAGCAAAAGAGCTTTCAGGCTTGTTGGGGAAACAGAGAATAGGGGACTGGGCTCAAATTGTACAGGTTGGTTTTCAGCACGTGAGCAAAACACACAATCACTAGGGCTGTGTCCAGTGCTTGAGGCAGTCCCTTGATTGCCTTTTTGGGCAAAACAGAGACATGATCTCGTAAGGATCTTTTATTATGGACTGCAAAAAGCTTTGTAAATACTAACTTAAATTATGTATCAACTCAGAAATAATAATGGCTTCATCCTCAATTTAAAAGGAGCTGTCTCTAAGGGAATGAAAAGTGCAAACTACAGTGTAAGGATTCAGTTGTGAGAACTTCAGGGAAATAGAGCGGAATTACATTATATACATGTAATATCTACATTGAGATGCACAGGCCCCAAGAAGTAGCAACTAGAGCAGTCAGATTATTTTTTCTGCATATAGGCTGTGATGTCTGTTTGAGTTGCAAGATTCTTGTGTGCTGAGCTGATCCAAGATGAAGGTACATTGGCCTCAGTGTGCAGTTAGTCATTTCCTGTCACGCTTTCACGTTTGAATTCTGTTGTACTGCATATGACCTTTATTATGTGGGGCAAAGAGATCTTGAAAGCACGATTGCCAGGAATCCTTGGATTGTTAAGTTGGATAAGCAGTGAGGCATTGATATGGCTGTGGGTTACACGGGCATAAACCAATTCAGTCCAAAATTAAACTTTCAATGCTAGATTGAATGCTCACAACATGCTTATTGAGAGTAATTGCACACCTGTCCCTTGCTCCTTTTTAAGAGCTGACAGGAGCAGCCCTTTCCCTGGGCTCCTCCGATCACACCAAAGCTCCTGTGATCAGTCACATTCCCTGAAACTTGGCTTCAGCATCTTTCTTCCTCTTATGGCCACTGTGACCATGTGTGCAGCTGCTGCCCTCAGCCAACCCCTGCCCAGTGGCAGCTGTGCCCGGCTGCAGTGTCCCCTGCTTGTCACTGCACGTGGCAGGAAAGGTACCTGTCACGAGGAGCCTCTCTTTTCTCTGCAGCCTCCTCAGAGACAAGCCACAATCTCTCCTGGCATGGTTTTAAGCCATGGGTTTCTTAACTGCCTGACAGAATGGTCTGTGTTGAGCTAGCCAGAAGTTTCTGGTGTGTTCCTATCTTGCTCCTCTGCTCTCAAGACTTCTTCCATCTGTTGGTCTGTTTGAATGTGATGGGTTCTCCAAAGAGCCCAAATGACTTCAATTCCTGACTTCCTGTTGAGTGCACAGAATTTGCTTGCTTTGTGCTCATTCTGAATAAGATTAACAGTTGATCTCTTGAGCAAACATTCCAATTTAATGTCAGCAGAATGACATAGACTGCCTGCTCTGAGTGTTCCCAAATAGTTTTACTGCTGTTAGCTACACCTCCAAAAGACCAAGATTTTGTTCAGAACCTAAAATAGTTAGTTAACCCCTACAGATGTTTAGTAATAAATATTTAACTCTGAAATCTTGCCCTCTTTTTTTTCCTTGGCAGAGTTCTTATTTTTATGGTTCCATAGTAGGGACTCTTCAGCTCCTTTCTCAGACCCTGGCAGAATTAGCTTTCCTTAAAGAAAATAAGTCCAGAGCAAGGACTGAATTGTCTCTTGTGCCTGTGCTGCTGGTACCTCACAAGCCCAGCACAGCAGTGGTGGCAGCTTGCCCTTGCTCACCTTGGACCAGGTGTGATGTCTCTGTCACAGTTTCCTTCAGGCACCTCTGGGCAGGCTGGGGACTGGAGGCAGGTGTGATTTTCTTACTGATTGTATTCTGTTTAAGAGTACAATCAGACATTTATAGGATAGGTGTGGTTTTGGCACTGTCCTTTATCTATATGCAGAGCTGCCAGGAGGAGTCTGTGATATGGCTTTGTTCTTTGGATGGGGCAACTTAAAGATCCCTTCTGAACAATGGGAAACCCTTATTTTGTCATTCTAAGACTGTATTAAAGTCATGCAACAGTTTAGGTCTTGTGCTTGTCAGATTCTGCTGCTTCAGTTTAACGGATTCTGCTGCTTCTTCCTCACAAAGCATTTGCAGGAAGCTGCTTACCTTGCTGACAGCAAGTTGTTTTATCTGAAATGCAAGGTGTTTCTTTACAGTGCTGCCAGCCGTTTTACTCAATCTCTTGCACAGCCTGGAGCAACCCGGGACAGCTCTGGGCAGGAGGGCGTCCTGCCCGTGCTGGGGGGAAAGGCTGAGGTGCAGCTTGCTCAGCAGAGCTCAGCGTATGCACATGTGTGAGCACAACACCCCAGTGGTGCAGGGAGGCTGTGGCCATACACCCAGCTGATCTGCTTATCTCCTGCCTCTGAGGCTGGCTGTAAGAACCGAACTTTCCCTGTGTGTTGGAGAAATGACCTGCAGCATCCTCTGGTTCTGCTGGTGATGGGGAAGCTGCCGTGTGAGGCCTGTGGCTGTCCTGATGGTCTCTGCAAAGAATCTACTCCTTGCCATGCTGGAGCCCTCCTTCCTACTTAAGATTTCAGAGCTGTCCCAGGGAAGGATGAGGCTGGAGAGCAGCTTGGAGGAGAGCTGAGGGCAGGAAGTGACTCACTGGAGCTTCGAGCAGGCCAGTGAAGGTCTGATGCAACTCTGCTCCCAGGGGAGCCCTGGGACCTCTCCCCAGCTGCCTCAAGCTCTCCTTTGACAGCCCCAGGGATGCACCAGGGTGCATCTGCTCCCAAGGGTGCCCCATGCAGGCTGGGTCACCCTGAGGGAGCGCTGGGACCTCTCCCCAGCTGCCTCAAGCTCTCCTCTGACAGCCCCAGGGATGCAGCAGCTCTGCAGCAGCGCTGGTGGGTTTGGGAGCAGAGAGACAGGGCACAGGGAGGCAGCAGCATGAGTAAGTGTGGAGAAACCCCCACAGCACCCCAGGGAGCTGGCCCCTACCCCCAGGAACCTGTGCCAGCCTGGGGCCAGGGTGCTCAGTGACCCTGTGCAGATCCCCAGAAGCCGTGTCAGGAATGAAAGCACTCCCAGCATAACGGAGGGGCTGGAGCTGCTCCTCAGAGCAAGCAGCTGGTTTGCCTTTTAGGGTCGGCAGCAGGCAGAAACAATTTCATGCAGATTCCAGGACCCATAATGGTTCTGGAAAGCTAGCAGGAACAAAAAGTGTTCTTCTCCTCTGCTGACCTTGGAGTGCTTTGGGGACTGTCTTTCAAAGCCATGTCCCTAGACGATTTCATCCTTACATGGGGAATACTTGCCTGCCCCAGTGAGGTGGTGCTTGCTCTTCTGTGTGTCTGTTTAGGTGTGAACTGCAATTGCTTATATTTGTGCTCAAACAGCAGTGGGGAGGTGAGAATAGGCAGGGACCTGACAGACAGTCAAGAGCAGGTCTTTTCCTATGTCCTGGAAAGATGAAGTGTTTCCCTAGGAATAGCCCCATGGATTACTCTAGGGTGACTCTGTGGAGCAGCTGGTTGTGAGCTGACAACAAACAAACTGGTGTGAAGTTACATAGGGTTACAGGTTCACCACCCACACAAGACTCCACACCTAAGGAGTTGTCTTCAGTGATTGTGTGGATCAGGCTGTACTCAGTCTGTATTGCCTCCTTTGCATAACAAATCCCTGTTTTATTTGTGCTAAAATTATTGCACTGATCTCCTGGGGCTGTTTCTAAGCCATGGCCTCGGACAATGACACCAGGGTGGTGTTGGGTGCATGTTACTCTCTAATTAGAAAGTGGACTTTGCTGTGCTTCCTTGACAAATTGCTGACCTTTTCCATCCATGAGGCTATTCTGAGCTCTGCTCCTGACTGATCAGATTTGCATCGAGGAGCACTTTGAATGTTGTTTGTGATGGGGCTCTTGTTCCTAAAGCTGTTTGTTCACGGGCACAGGAGAGGAACTCAACTTCCTTTGCTCCATGAGCACAACTACATCTTTCAGAGGGAAAGAGGAGGCAGCTGGCAGGCATATATCTGTGTTTATTTTTGCCCTCCAACAGCTAGTGAAACAGCTGAGCAATATCCCACATCCAGCTACACTATCACCCTGTACAAGGGACCTGCTTCAGCAAGCCTTGTGCCCCCAGACAGGAGCCATCTGGCAATGCACAAACACTGTATTTGCAACTGCAACCCCATCATTATAGGGCAACACCTTGGTTAGCATTTGAAGGCGTTCCTGACATCAGCCCAGCACACAGCTGATGTTTACAGGGTGGTGCAAAGGATGAGCACATGCTCACTGGCACAAGATTGCCTATATTGTGCCTTCTATGTCTGACCCTCAATTAAAGGGGTTTTTAATGCATTTTAAAACTCTAACTATGTGCTTCACAAGGAAGGTAATTCCCAGGTTCATAATTACAATCACAGTAAGAATTATGGTCTTTTCTACTATTTCTTTTACTCCATTTCTTTTGTCCCACCTTCCTCTTCCCGGAGTGTTCAGTCTCACAGCACCATGTCTCAGGGACGGAGATGCTGCATTTGCTTTGGTGCTGCCTGGGCTTCGACGCCCCTGCCCAGCTCTGAGAGCAGAACAAAGGGAGCAAACAGCTTATCTAACACAAATAACCCTGAGCAAACTTCCTGGGCCTGTTCTTGTTCTGTTGAAAAGGCAGCACAAAGTCTGTTCCTGTGTGCAGCCTTGGCCACGTGAGGCTCCCGGGCCTGGCTCTGCTGCACCCCCAGCCTGGGGAGCAGCACTCAGCTTGAAAAGTTTTTCACTTGGGGAAAAACTGCTCGAAGCAGAGGCAAGCCTGGCCCACTGCTTTAGGGTCCTCCTTGGTATATCGTTCCTGGAGGGATTTGTTTTTCACTTCCTCTTCTGACAATATCAGGGAAGTGGTGCTCAGGAGGTTATTCCTCATCGCTGGTAAAATCCCAGCCTTCTTCATTCAGGTTGTTTTTTTCTTCCTTTGTGTTTTCTGATGCCCTCTGAGCCTGTATTACTGGACCACAGAGCTAAAGTGCAGCCCATTGAGAAACATGGAAGTTCCCTGCTCTGGCGGTGGCTTAGCCTCTCATGAGCAGGAGTGCTCATTACAGGTCTCTCAGTACAGACACACCTTGGAAAGTTCCCTTCACCAGGGCTGGGAGGCGGGGAGGAGAGTTGGAAATTTCTTTTAATTGCCAGAGAGAAAGGTCCCAGGTATCTTCAGGGAGCAAAGGCAAGTGGGGTGGCAGAGAAGGCAGCAGTGGGTGAGAAGCAGCCAGGAGCTGTGTGGGAGCTGCTGCCCAGTCACGGGAGCACCTCGGGGGTGCCCCAGAGAGAAGGGACACTGTGGGGGCCAGCACAGGCTGGAGAAGCAGGTGCAGCTCAGCAGCTTGCAGCAAACCACCATGTGCCTGCCTTGTGTCCAGTAACAGACTGGGCATTGCCTTGTTCTGCAGGCAGCACTCAGGGCTGCTGGCTGGAGCTTTGGGAGAGGCTTGGTGGAGCGCTGGCCCCGCGCTGCTGGCAGGGACAGGCCATGGAGCTGCTCCCACAGCCACACACGCTGGCCTGCCACGCTGGAGGGCACGGAGTGGGCAGTGGCCTGGGTGGCAGCTGGTGAGGAGTGTCTGAAAAGGAACTTTGTTCCCCCTCAGTTGGTCACGTAGCCATGTGGGAGCACTGGATTTATTCTTCATCAGTCCTATCGGCACATACCGGGCTTGACAACAGCTGGGAGCTGTGTGCCTTGGCCAAGAATAGCCCTGGGGAGCTCTGGGCTGTGAGTCAGAACTGTCTGGATCAGCTCCTGCCCTGGAGGCTGCCTCCCAACCTACAGCTGGCTGTGGGGAGGGGGTGCAGGGGCTGGTAGGGAGCTCCCTGACCATTCAATGCTAACTGCAGATTGTGCTGTAATTGCTCTTTGTGAAGTGGGTGAGTTTGTGAAGAACAGAGCAGTGGAGGTGCTCTGTAGCTGACAGCACCCTTGTAACTCAGTGGGCTTGTCTACACTTGACAGCAGCCCAGGTTAAAAGAAGGGTGTGATTTTGCAAGTGGAAAACTCCATGTTTAGGAATAACCAGGCTGAACTAAACAGGAGGAAGACAGTCTTGTTCTGGAGTTAATGCTCCAAAGAAAGCAAAATTGTTCCACAAACCTGTTGTCTGTGAGGGAGATAAGCAGCAAGGAAAGATGTCAGGTCTCCTTCATATCAAGCCCCAACAGGTGCTTGTGGAACACTCATCTGCCCCTATAGCTTCTCCCTGGAGTGTTTATAGTTGGAGCAACACATGCAGAGCAGTTTGCTGGGACAAGGCTCCACAGCCAAGGCACAGAGCACAATGCCCAATTCCTGCTTCCCTATGGAGCAGCTGCTTTTAAACCTCTGGAGAAGTTCCAGGGTTTGAGCTGCTAGCAGCTCCTCAGGCAGAGCTTTCAGCCATTCTGAGGAGCCTGCTATGGACCACGGAGGGCTGAGCGCGGGTCTCTGAAGGGCAGCTGGGCACACGGATCTCCCTTAGGCTGTCTGGCTCTCAGACATCACGGTGGACACACAACCACGTGGCATGTGCAAGGTTTTGGTGACAAACGAAAATTTTTAATGCAGGAAATTTCTCCCTTTTTATTTTACACTTCACTTCCCAGGATGGTAGCAAAGAGTGAGGAGCTTAGCTGCATGCTGACACGTCCAGGTTTTCTGAGCGGTGCCAAAGTTCTCTGGCTGTGAACTGGAGTATAAGCCTGAAGGCTCTGATGACTGCAGGCTCCTAGGGCAGTGCATGCAGCCCCAGAGCAGGAGCACAGCGTGGTTCTGTCCCCTGTGCTGGCAGCAGCTGTGGGCTCAGTGCAGGGACTCTGGTCCTTGGCCCCTGGAGGTGGCAGGGTTGTGCAGGGACATCCCGGACAGCTCAGCTGATACTGACCCACACCTGCCCTGATCTCAGCAGGTGAAGGAGGGCCTCAGACCGGCACCATGACAGAGTGCTTCGACTGTGACAACTGCAAGGAGTCCCTGTACGGGCGCAAGTACATCCAGATGGACAATGGCCCCTACTGCATCCCCTGCTACGACGCGCACTTCGCCAACACCTGCGACGAGTGCAAGGAGCTGATCGGCCACGACTGCAGGGTGAGTAGAGGCCCTGCAGGGTGAGCAGAGGCCCTGCAGACAAGCAGGCCAGTTCCCAAGGCCTTTGGTCCCCTCCTCATGCTGGCTGTACTCCCAGGAGCTGTACTACGAGGACCGTCATTACCACGAGCACTGCTTCCGCTGCTTCCGCTGCGACCGCTCTCTGGCTGATGAGCCCTTCACCTGCCAGGGCAAGGAGCTGCTGTGCAACGACTGCTACTGCAGCGAGTTCTCCTCCAAATGTGTCGCCTGTGAGAAGACTGTCATGCCAGGTAGGAGCAGGCTGACTCGAGCCTTGCAGTTTGTTCCTGGTCCCTTGGTGTCAGCTGGGGCTGCAGGTCCAGCAAGAGAGCAGCATGGAAGAGAGTTGGGTCTCTGTTTTCCTGCCCTCCTGTCACTGCCTGGAGAGGGCTGGGTCCTTTGCTTGTCCAGCAAGACAGCACTGCTGGTCAAGCTGTGACCACCACAGCAGACCCATCTATCTGTTCCTCTTTTAAATGGGGAAGTGAATGAGGGAGGAGATAACAAAGGGTTTCCTGGGCATTTTCTGCTGTGTGCTGACAAGAAGAGACAGAATGACTAAAGATGTGCGAGTGTCTCTGGAGAAGGCCTGAGGCAAAGGCGTGTATGTCTTTACTTGGCTATTTTGGCACCATCTTCAGATGTAGGTTACGTCAGGCATCTCTGCCATGGGCTTTGTGCCAGTGCTGGGGACGTGTTCCTGCAGCCCTCCCCGTGTGGCTGTGCTGTGGGCCTGAAGCCCCCTCTCCAGCTCCATGGTCCTGAACTGCCATGGGGAGAGCAAGCACAGAGCCAGGTGTGCAGGACCACAGCTCATCCTGCCCAGCCCCCCATGTCCCTGTGTGCGTGTGTGCTGCTCACTGCAGGGCTCTCTTTGCAGGCTCCCGTAAGCTGGAGTACAATGGACAGACCTGGCATGAGCATTGCTTCATCTGCAGCAGCTGCCAGCAGCCCATTGGGTCACGGTCCTTCATCCCAGACAAGAAGGATTATTACTGTGTCCCCTGCTACGAGAGCAAGTTCGCTCCTCGCTGCACTCGATGCAAAAAGGTACGTGTGGTCTGACAGCCCAGAGCTTCCAGCTCTGCTGCAGGGACAGGGAGCTCTCTGCTCCTGCCTGAGCTCTATCAGAGGAAGATTCAGGTGCCATCACCCTGGCTGGGCTGTTTCCCTTTGCCTGTGTGTCACCAGCATGTGCTCTGTTCCTGCAGACTCTCACCAAGGGAGGAGTGACCTACCGGGATGAGCCGTGGCACAAGGAGTGCTTTGTCTGCACAGGCTGCAAGACCCCCTTGGCTGGGCAGCAGTTCACCTCCCAGGATGACAACCCGTACTGCATCAAGTGCTTTGGGAACCTCTATGCCAAGAAGTGCAGCGCCTGCACAAAGCCCATCACAGGTGAGCAGAGCAGCTCTCTGAGGAGCCCCGTGGTCCTGGGGCTACTTCTGTCCCTTTGTCTGCATCTCTCAAAGTGGTGAACTGTGTCCTGTGGGAGGAATTCCCTCCACCCACAGGTAAAGGCTCCAAAGTGACCCCCCCAAAGCATGAGCTCATGTGTCTAGCTTGAGTTTTTTGATACTGATTGTCATGTCCTGTGAAAAGGTTGTTCACAGACAGGGAAAACCTATAGCAGCACCTGGTGTAGGGGGGTCTGGACCTGCTGTACCTGCCTAAGGCAAGGAAAGTAAGGGATCCTCTTCTTCAGAGCCTCCTAAGGTTCTGGCTTCCTTCCCAACCTCACAACATGACCTTCCCCCTTGCAACTCCCAGGTTCTTGCTGCTGGGAAGGCAGGAGAAGCTGTGAATCAGCCGGTGACTCAGAGGATGATTCTGGCTGCTCCCAGGCACCTACTTCCCCTCTGGTCCTTATGAATTTGTAGCAGCCCTGGGGAGAAGAGGGTCACAGCTCACCAGTCCAACAACTGCCAGCAGAGAAAGGAAGCTCCTGTGGAGCCTCTGCAGGAGCCTGGGCCTGAGCTGCTGGCTCTTCCCAGGATTTGAGTAGTTCTGTCTGACTTCATCCACTGTGATGGTGCAGCTCCTGTCCAAGCTCCTCCTAGGGGAGAAAATCATGATTCTGATCCAGATATGTCAACCCTGCAAAGTCTGCTCTGAAGCAATTTTAGTGCTTTTCCCCCACCAGAGTGGAGATTCACATTTCAGATCTATTTGATCCTGGGGTGTGTTTTTGGTGCCACCACCAGTGCCATGTGTGAAGACCTGACCTGGAGATTAGCAGGCCAGTGCTCGGTCTGTCCAGGAAGCTCATCCCAGTTTCCCCAGAGACTCTCATGTTGCCCTTTGTCCCTCCCACAGGTTTCGGTGGTGGCAAATACGTCTCCTTTGAGGACCGTCACTGGCACCACAACTGCTTCAACTGTGCCCGCTGCAGCACTTCGCTGGTGGGGAAGGGTTTCATCCCCGACAACGACGAGATCCTGTGCCGCGACTGCAGCAGCGACCTATGAGCCCGAGGGCACGGCGGGGCAGGGCCTCCCTCTGTTCTCCAGGGCCTTGGTGCCAGCTTCCCCCGCAGCACTGCAGGGGCAGAGCACGAGGCACAGGAGATGGGGGCTGACCTGTGCCCCCTCCCTGAAGGCTAGAGTGCGCTGTGCTGTGGCTCTGTGCAGTTAAAGCTAAATAAAGCTGAAAAAGGAGCTTCAAGACCCCCCATTATTTACTCTTTCTTTTCGCTTCCAGTCTAACCCAGCACGAGCCCAGGCCCCTAGCTGAGCAAAGGGCAGGAGTGGCTTTGGCACTGTGCTGCTGGATCTGCATGCTGGCAAGCATGTATTCACCCCTTGGCACTGACTTCTTTCTCCATGTGCTTCCCTTGCTCTAGGTGACACAAGGCAGTGTCTCGGGGCCATGCAGCTTGGCCATGCTGGCCTTGGTGCAGCCAGCTTTGCACAGCCTTCCCTTTGCTCAGCCATGAAGGGCACTGTCTTCTGTTCTAGAGGTTTGAGGACACCAGGCTGGAGTGTGCCCCGGAGAAGAGCATACATCCTGGCAGCTGGGATCCACCTCTGGAGTTCTGTAGCACCTCAATCTTTGCAGGCCACACCCTTTGCTCAGCACCTCCATGGCAGTGCTTGCTTAGCTGTGAATGAGGAGTTCAAGTCACTTGTAGGTACGGGGCATTCAGCCCACCCACACCTACCCCATTGCTGCCCACCTATGCTGTGACCTCCCGTGGCTGAGCTGGAGCTGGGAGTGCTGGCCTGCTGATGCTCAGGTGCATCTGGCTGAGCCCTGTAGAAGGGCATGCTGAAGGCTGAGAGCACTCAGGGCTTTATTCCTTCTCCATCCCTCTCATGAGGAACCATGAGACAGGCACTGCTATCAGAGCCCAGCTGCCAGCAGCACTGGGAACACCAGAGGTAATTAATTCAGGGAAGGATAATTTCCCACAGACTGTGCCTGTGATTAGTAGCTGCTGGGAGGGTCTGCAGGAGCACAAGGCTGCAGCACAGAGAGCAGCTGAGGGGGCAGCAGGATGTCCACAGCCTGCTCCTCCAGGGCTGCCTGTGTCCCCAGCAGCAGGGACACCTTCCAGCCACACTCATCCTTCCCTGGGTCCCAAACAAGAAGCAAAGCAAAGATTGCACCTGGGGGGTGGGGTGGGATGATTTTGCATTGCCCAGGTCCCAGTTGGCCCTAACTGCAAAATCGGGTGTCTGAGCCATCCCAGACTCAAATGAGGCCTTGTGCAATCCTTGCCCAATGGATGAGCTGGCCCTGGGCTAAGGCCTCTCCCAGTGGGATGCCTGCCTCGTCTCTAAATCCTTCTGCTTCTGTCTCGCTGGGATACTTTTGCCAACCCTGCTTTCCTGCTTAGTCAGCCACATGCTTTACTGAAAACCTGTTCTTGTGGGTTTTTTTCCCTTTTGTACTCATCTTTCATGAATATCCATCATTTTGTACACAACTACAGGATAAAGGGGCTAGCCCCCCACCCGGGCTTCACTTAGAAACATAAAATGTTATGCATGTTGAAGTGTTACTACTCTGCATTCAGATCCTTCTTAAATCCTTGTTTGGAAGTTTTGATGACAGCAAATCAGAGTTTGTGTGTTTGCTATTATGAGAGGAGCTTGGAGCCATTTCCAGAAGGAATTGTCCTAAACCTCAGCGTCCTCTGTATTTCCTACAGCTTTATACAATAAACCATTTTCGTGACACTTTCTCTTCTGTGTCTCTTGAACAGCAGGCACAGGGCAGAATGCTGAGTGGGTGCTGGGCTCTGCTCAGCCTTGCCTCACCCCTGATCCCATTCTGGGGACGGGCAACCTCTGCAGTGCTTGTGCCTGCCTTCCCAAACCACAGCCCAGGACCAGCCGTGCCGGCCCTGTGATTGTGGCCACAGCGTCTCCCTCCTCCTGCTGCGTGGCTGCAGTGGCTTCCAGGGGCTGGGGGTGTCCATCTGTCTGTCCTTGCTGTCTTTGCAGGCTGGCTGTGGGACTGTTGGGATGGCTGTGGTACCAAGCCAACCCTGCTGCAGAGCAGCCTCCTGCCCTGCAGTGTGCACTGCCTGCCCATGCCACAGCATTCCAAGGGGACTCCTGGGGTAGCTGCAGCCTCCAGCCAGGATATCCACGGTCCCTCTTGGCAGCCTTCCCTGAAGTGCTGCATGCTCTGTACTCATGTTTATCAGCCAGGGAGCCATGTGTTCCCTAACATATGAAACTATTTTCCACAGATCCTTTACATTTACCAACAGCTGCTGTGACTTGCTCTGGACTTGCCTGCTCCAGCCCTCTCAGCACAGTGGCTAGGCTCCCATGGGTGCTGCTGTGGTGGCAGGCTGGGCACAGCCCACGGGGTGCCTCTGCAGGACCATGGCACTGGTGTGTGCACATTCCTGGCCGCTTCAAAGGCTCTGCTCTGCTGGCTGATGGAATTCTAGCACGATTTTTGTTGCTCTTGCTGCCCTGTGACCTGGGCTGGGCTCTGGTGCTGTGCTGGCCCTTGGAGGGTGAGTGAATAGCTCCAGCCCAGAGGTTCCCAGCTGAGCCTGTCCTCCAGCAGCAGCAGCTCCAGCCGGGCTTTCTGCAGTGCTGTTTCCAGGGATTAACCGCAAAAGGTTTCTATACAAGGGGCCCCCAGGCTCTTCTTTCAGTCAGCCTCCAGAGCCTCACGTTTTTAGCCAAAAAAGGAAATGACCCAGCTGCACGTAGCACTGAAACATCTGGATTTTATCCCTGTCATGAATGGGTCATGGCTGTACATGGCCCAGTGCCTGATTTACAGGAGGGGGAGGGTGATGTCATGCACAAACATCCCCCGAGACTCTGGAGTGTGGGTCTGAAACAGTCATGGAAATTTTATTAGGCACAAGGAGTGGTGTGAGGGGGGTCAAGCCAGGGCTGTTGTGCTGGTGAGGTGGGATGGGGGAAGCTGCTGAGGACATGGGGCAGCACTGCAGGGGTAGAAAGAGACCCTGGCACTGACCAAATCTGCCCAAGCTATGCCCTCCTGCACCACTGTGGATCAGGGGCAGCGTTTGCAGCCCCAATGGGCAGAGCCAGGTACAAGCCACTGCCTGGGGAGTCCTGTGCAGGGCCAGGAGTTGGACTTTGATGATCCTCATGGGTTCAGGATATTCTGTGATTCTCTGCATTTCAGCTCCCAGTCCCTGAAATGAAATAGCATCTCTTAGTCCAGCTTTCTCCCAATTCCTCCCATGTGCACTGCCACCTGTGGGCTGAGGAGGAGGGTGGTCATGCAAGGGCTGGTCTTGTCCCACCTTGATCCTCCTGATGCCAGCAGTCCAAAATAAGAAGGCCATGTGGCTGGAGAGGGCACTGCTGGATTTCAACTTCTTCCCTTTCCAGAGTGAAGGTTCATGCAAAGAGAAATGGAAGAACACTAAGCTCAGAATCATATCTCTGTTTTTATTTTTAGGCAGGCATTCATGAAGAAAAGTGATGTAATTTGCCTATAATGCAAGGGAGTAATTAAAGACAGTATTCTTACCTGCAGCATCATCCTATCCTCATTGAAGGATCATCTTTGGCTGCCATTAAGACAATTTTTTTTCTTGCTTTTGGCTGAGAGTAATTTATTGCACATGGCAGAAAAATATTAATGATTTATTAATATACAGTGAGTCAAAATGTAATCACAGCTTTGCATTTGGCAGTGTTGGGGCAAGGCACCCTTGGATTTAGGGGGGATCTGAAGAAGGCAGTTGAAACCCACATGGGGCTGAAAGCAAAGTCTGTGCTGCTGGGCACTGAGGCACCGGCCGTGGGGAGCCAGCACGGCACGGCCTGGCTGGGCACTGGACAGCGCTGCTGTGGCCGGGCAACCCCGGGAGGCTCCAGGCTGGGGCAGCCCTAAATCCAAACCGGCACCTCGGGCCACTCAGTGCCACCAAGCACCGTGCTCGGACATGGCCCTGTGCTCGGACACTGTGCTTGGACACCGTGCTCGGACACGGCCCTGTGCTCGGACAGTGCGCTCGGACACCGTGCTCAGACACGGCCCTGTGCTCGGACAGTGCGCTCGGACACTGCGCTTGGACACCGTGCTCGGACATGGCCCTGTGCTCGGACACTGCGCTTGGACACCGTGCTCGGACACGGCCCTGTGCTCGGACAGTGCGCTCGGACACCGTGCTTGGACACGGCCCTCTGCTCAGACACTGTGCTTTGACACCATGGCTCGGACACGGCCCTGCGCTCGGACACTGCGCTCGGACACTGTGCTCGGACACTGTGCTCGGACACTGCGCTTGGACACTGCGCTTGGACACGGCCCCGTGCTTGGACACTGTACTCGGACACTGTGCTCAGACATGGCCCTGTGCTCGAACACTGTACTCAGACACCGTGCTCGGACACGGCCCTGTGCTCGGACACTGTGCTTGGACACTGTGCTCGGACACGGCCCTGTGCTCGGACACTGTACTCGGACACTGTGCTTGGACACTGCGCTTGGACACCGTGCTCGGACAGGGCCCTGTGCTCAGACACTGTGCTTTGACACCATGGCTCGGACACGGCCCTGCGCTCGGACACTGCGCTCGGACACTGTGCTTGGACACTGTGCTCGGACACTGCGCTTGGACACTGCGCTTGGACACTGTGCTCGGACAGTGCGCTCGGACACCGTGCTTGGACACGGCCCTGTGCTCGGACACTGTGCTTGGACACTGTGCTCGGACACGGCCCTGTGCTCGGACACTGTGCTTGGACACTGTGCTCAGACACGGCCCTGTGCTCGGACAGTGCGCTCGGACACCGTGCTCGGACACGGCCCTGTGCTCGGACACTGTGCTTGGACACTGTACTCGGACACTGCGCTCGGACACCGTGCTCGGACATGGCCCTGTGCTCGGACACTGCGCTTGGACACAGCCCTGCAGCTCGGACACCGTGCTCGGACACGGCCCCGTGCTTGGACACTGCACTTGGACACCGTGCTCGGACACGGCCCTGTGCTCGGACACTGTACTCGGACACTGTGCTCGGACACGGCCCTGCTCTCGGACACTGCGCTCGGACACGGCCCTGTGCTCGGACACTGTACCCAGACACTGTGCTTGGCCACAGCCCTGCGGCTCGGACACCGCACTCCGATACGGTTCTGCCACTCGGACACTGTACTCGGACGCTGTACTCAGACACGGCCCTGCCGCACGGACACGGCCCCACACTCGCATACTTCGTTCAGACACGGTCCGTGCTTGGACACCGCGCTCGGACACGGCCCGCGCTGAGGGGCACGGCCCGCGCTGAGGGGCACGGCCCGCGCTGAGGGGCACGGCCCGGCCGCTCGAACAGTGTACTCGGGCACGGCCCCGCTCTCAGACACCGCTGTCGGACACCGGCCCCCTCTCAGACACTGTACTCGGGCACGGCCCCGCTGTCAGACACCGCTGTCGGACACATCCCCGCTGTCAGACACCGCTGTCGGACACAAACCCGCGGTCACACACCGCGCTCGGGCACGGCCGCAGCCGCCTCCTGCCGGCCGCGCCGCGGCCCCGCGCAGCGCCCCGGAACCGGAACCTCCCCACACAGCGGGGCCTCGCCGCGGCCTGCCGGCGGCTGCGAGCCGAGCGCGGCATGGAGACGATCCTGGAGCAGCAGCGGCGCTACCATGAGGAGCGGGAGCGCCTCATGGACGTGATGGTGAAGGAGATGCTCACCAAGAAGTCCACGGTGCGCCCGGGGCCTTGTGGGGGGTGCGGGAGGCTCCCCCGGGCCCGCGCTCACCGCTCTGCTCTGCCCGCAGCTCCGCGACCAGATCAACTCGGACCACCGCACCCGGGCCATGCAGGACGTGAGTGCTGCGGGCGGGAGCGGGGCTGGGCCGGGCCGGGCCGGGCGGCTCCCCGGGGCCGCCGGGGCCCGTCCCGGTGACGGGCTCGGTGACGGGCTCGGTGACGGGCTCGGTGATGGGCTCGGTGACGGGCTCGGTGACGGGCTCGGTGACGGGCTCGATGATGGGCTCGATAACGGGCTCGATAACGGGCTCGGTGACGGGCTCGGCGCCACTCGGGCCGCTCCTTTGTTCCGCAGAGGTACATGGAAGTGAGCGGCAACCTGCGGGACCTGTACGACGACAAGGACGGGTGAGTGTGCCCGGGGCCCTCGTGTGTCGGAGCGTGCCGGGCTGCTGGATCCAGTGTGTCTAAAGACTGACACGGGAATGGAGAGGTGGCGGCCGAGTGCAGGGCAGGACGCGAGTGCACCCAGGAGCATCCGTGTAGGATGGGCAGGTTTTGTTGTGTTGTGTCGTGGGGAGGCCCTGCCTGCTCCCGGGGTTTGTCAGGGGCTGCAGCCTGTGTGGGCTGTGACCATGAGAGCCTGGTGGGCTGGGAGGTCCCCATGACTTAAAGGTTTGCAGTCTAGACACTGCAGCACAGCCCTGGACTAAGGTTGTGTCAGTGTCATCCTTCCCTTCCCTTCCCTTCCCTTCCCTTATTCCCTTATTCCCTTATTCCCTTATTCCCTTCCTTTCCCTTTCCTTCCCTTATTCCCTTCTTCCCTTCCCCCCTTCCCTTCTTCCCTTCCTTTCCCTTCCTTTCCTTTGCTCCCTTATTCCCTTCCCTTCCTAATCTCTTGCTGTCTGTGAACTCATAGCCTGCGTAAGGAAGAACTCAGTGCCATTTCCGGGCCAAATGAATTTGCAGAGTTTTACAACAGACTGAAGCAAATTAAGGAATTTCACC